CCTGTACAGCATGGTGCTGTACTGAATACTATATGTAACTGTAATACAATTGTAACTATATGTGGATCTAAACATATCTAAACATAAAAAAGGTACAGTAAAAGTATCGTATTATAATCTTATAGGACCACTATCATAAATGTTGTACGTCATTGACCAAAACATCATTATGTGGTATGTGACCATATATAAAAGGTGAAAAACTAAATAATTTCCCTGAGATAATAATTGAACCAAATATATTTTCTGACTACAACACAGTAAACCTAGAAATAAATTTGTTTTATGTTTAAACTATGAGAAAAAGCCAAGTCACTGGAGATTGAAAAATGAATTTCAAAGAGAATATTAAAAAAATGCAATTAGAATATGAGAACATTATATATAAAAATATATTAAATGTGGACAATATTACACATGAAACACATCATAGCCTAAATGTTTTAATTACTAAAAAAGCAGTAAAGAGAGTAATGAATGCAAGAACTGTAAGAAACTCCATATTAACTAGTAGTAGTACTAAAATAACACGATGTTTACAATAGCAAAAATTTAGAACAACTTTATCTCCAACAATAAAAAATATTTAAAAGCTATCATGGAGCTGGATGCGTTGACTCACACCTGTAATCCCAGCACTTTGGGAGGCTGAGGCAGGTGGATCAGTTGAGGTCAGGAGTTCAAGACCAGCCTGGCCAACATGGTGAAACCCCATCTCTACTAAAAATACAAAAATTAACCAGGCATGGTGGCAGGCGCCTGTAATTCCAGAGGCTGTGGCAGGAGAATCGCTTGAACCCAGGAGGTGGAGCCAAGATTGCACCACTGCACTCCAGCCTGGGCAACAGAGCGAGATTCCATCGCAAATAAATGAATAAATAAGTGCTATTATGAACAATGATAGTGGCATAGCTAATGACATGAAAATGTTCACAATATTTTGTAAGTTGAAAGACAACAGGTTAACAATAGCATATTGTATGAAGCCATTTTATAAAATATATCTATGTAAGCATAGAAATAAAAAAAAAACTAACATTTATTAAGTGCACATTATATACCAGGCACTGTTTAAGCATTTCACATATGCTGATTTATTTATGGTTATAATAAACTTATGTAGCCATTCTATTACTTTCTCCACTTTGTGAGATTTAAGATAAGGGAAATTAAAGAATTTGCCCAAGGTCACACAGCTAATAAGTGGCAGAGGCTTGGAAGAACATACATCAAAATGTTAATAGGCTGGGCACAGTGGCTCATGCCTGTCATCCCAGCACTTTGGGAGGCCAAGGCAGGTGGATCACTTGAGGTCAGGAGTTCAAGGTCAGCCTGGCCAACATGGAGAAACTGGATCTCTACTAAAAATACAGAAATCAGCCAGGCGTGGTGGCATGCATCCGTAATCCCAGCTACTCGGGAGGCTGAGGCAGGAAATCGTTTGAACCCGGGAGGCAGAGGTTGCAGTGAGTCAAGATCATGCCACTGTGCTCCAGCCCGGGCAACAGAGTGAGACTCTGTCTCAAAAAATTTTTTTTAAAAAGTATAATAGTGTTTATTTCTGAATGATGAGATTATAGATGACTTTTTATTTAGTTTGTTTTACATTATCTTTTTATTTAGCTTGTTTTACATTCAGAAAAACTGAAAAAACATTTTCAGTTTTTCTACAAGGGGCATGTATTACTTGTGAAACAAAGAAATTATGGGTCTTTTAAAGATGAAAGCAAAACATCTAATTAGGAAACAAAAATAAGTGAAAAGAAAAAATCTGACAGATGTTTCTCTTAAAAAATATAGATAAGCCTAACAATTTTGAGAACAAAAGAGAGAAGTATTTAAATAAGCAAATTAAATAATGAGAAATGGACTAAGACAACTAAAGTACATATTTTAATTAAAATATCATAAATAACATCAGATATATTTAAATGTCAGTGAACTAAAAATTATCTGGAAATAAAATGGACTCTAATAAATTTATAAAAACCTGAATTAAGGTTTGGAAATGTTAATGATTTACCTTCCCCCAAAGGCTCTGGGTCCAGGGAGTTTTATAAAATGTTTATTTTAAACTTCCAAAGACTAGTAATCCCCATATCAAAAAATCTACTTAATTCATTTAATAAATATGGCAAAAATCTGACACTAGGATCCGACAATAGCAATATAAGAAAGAAAATTACAGTAGTCCCCTGTTATTTACAGAGAATATGTTCCAAGGCTCTTTGTCGCTGTCTGAAACTGCAGATAATATTGAACCCTATAAATACTATGTTGCCTCCCATACATACATACCTATGATAAAGTTTAATTTATAAATTAGGCACAGTTAAGAGATTAGCCACAAAAACAAAAAATAAAATAGAACAAGTAGAACAATATACTGTAATAAAGACAATACAAATGGGTGCTCTCACTCATTCTTTCTCTTGTTCTCTCTCAAAATAGCTTATTGTACTGTACTGTGAATAACTGAAAGTGCAAAAAGCAAAACCATGGATAAGAGGGACCACTGTATAACCAATCACATATACAGAAGAGGATGTAAGTAGCCTATATAAAATACTAATATAATTTAGTGAAAAATCAAAAGAATAATTAACAATGGCCTGGTTGGATGTATTCCTAAAATAAATGATGGTTTAATATTAGTACATCTATTAATAGGATATAGCTCTATGCATGTTAGTATATAAAAAAGAAAAATTAAATAAAAAAGAAAAATCCTATATAATTATTTCAATAGATGATAGAAAACCATTTGCTAAAGTCAACTTCCATTCCTAGTTTAAAAAACTCTAAGAGAGCTAGAAATAATAAAATGGCTCTGTAATATACTAAAGAATACCACTCTAAAACAAATTTACAACACTGATATACCAGACTCTCTACTGACTAGAGATATCCCGTTAAAATCAGGAGGAAAATAAGAATTACTGGAAATACCTGTCAAATAGAAGATTCAGACCTTTCCAACACCACCTCTTCACCTGTTTGCCCCCTTGACTTTCTCCTATTCGGGGCTCAGACAAGAGTGAAGCAAGTAAGGCCCCTGAAGTGCAGAACTGAAGGACATACTTACTCTTGGGGTTATGAAAGTTCAAGGTTGATAGTTGTGTGACCCTGAGAGTGAGCACCTCCCTCCCTTAAAAGTCTCACTTGTCTCACCCTAGTTCCAGTCCTGCACGTATTCCTTCTCTCTTGTAAATTCTACTAGCTCTTCTGACAAGCTAAAGTCAGCCATTTGTAGACAGTCAGCTAGTCTTTAGAATTTTAGATGTTTCAAGAAGAAATTAAACAGTAGTCCCCTATGATTCATGTGTTTCTGAATTTTCCAACTTCTCCCATCGACTAAATCCTATTGAAGCCTTCCCACCTTAACTGCTCTCTTTCCAAAGAAATCAAATTAACAGATTTCTCTGCAGGTAATCATCAAAGACCAGATCCCTTTATATTCACAACATATGTGAGAAAGTTAGTAGTTGGGAAATTAGTTTTCATATATATTTTATAATATATATTATTTTAGGGTCTCATACAAAACTTTTATTTTAATAATTTATTGCCAATTACTTGTTCTCTTCAGTTCAAAAATTTTAAAGAGTAAAATAAGGGGCTGGGCGCAGTGGCTCATGCCTGAAATCCCAACACTTTGGGAGGCCGAGGTGGGCAGATCACCTCAGGTCAGGAGTTCAAGACTAGCCTGGCCAACATGGTGAAACCCCCATTTCTACTAAAAATACAAAAATTAGCTGGACGTGGTGGCACGCAACTGTAATCCCAGCTACTCAAGAGGCTGTGGCACAAGAATCACTTGAACCCTAGAAGCAGAGGCTGCACTGAGCTGAGATAGTGCCACTGCACTCCAGCCTGCATGACAGAGGACGACTCTGTCTCAAAAATTAAAAAAAAAACAAAGAGTAAAATAAGATAATATATGATATATGCAGAAAATATTTTGAAAGTGAGACTATTCTATAAATACCAACTATTATTAATTAGTATTTCTTTTTTATCAAAATGTACTATATGCATATGGTCATTTACATGTTATTAGAATGGGACATATCACAGGAGGAAAAAGCTATTTTCAAAGTACTATGGAAACTTAACATAGAACTTTGGAAAAGCTGCTGAGTAGTATTACGATGCCTTTACTTTGCATAATTCTACAGATGCCCTATCCTAAACCTATGTCCTATCTTCCTATGTGTTTAAGCAAATCAAAACTGACAGTGAACAGACCTTTTTAATATGTGTCATGATATTTTATTCTAGAAGAGGCAAGTTCTTGCTATGGAACATGTTTCTCAAATGCATCTGAGGCTTTTCATATTTAATGTTGCATCTCTAGATCGTTTTACAGATAAATTCATCTCATCATGAAATAATTTTCCTGAAACTGTTGTGTATAGGACCAAGATACTACACACATACATAAATATACAAGATACTACACACATAAATAACTTGCAGTGAAGGATATAAGATTTTAAAAATATAATAATAATAAATTAAGGTAAATAGAATCATATATAAAATATATATATATATATATATAAAATCAGTAAACGTCTGCCTAAATATCACTGACTTTTAGAAAGTATTTCTAGCCGGGTGCAGTGGCTCATGTCTGTAATCCCAGCACTTTGGGAGGCTAAGGCGGGTAGATCACAAGGTCAGGAGTTCGAGACCAGCCTGGCCAATATGGTGAAATCCCATCTCTACTAAACAATAGAAAAAAATTAGCCAGGCATGATGGTGGGCGCCTGTAATCCCAGCTACTCAGGAGTCTGAGGCAGGAGAATTGCTTCAACCCAGGAGGCGGAGATTGCAGTGAGCCGAGACTGCACCACTGTACTCCAGACTGGACAACAGAGCAAGACTCTGTCTAACAACAACAACAAAAAAAGTATTTCTAACTATGGTGTTGATCAATATCTATTGAGTAATCTTTCCAAAGTTTTCCCTAGTGAACGGATGATTGCACTACTTACCTAATTGCATCATTGGTCTCTGAAACGACTCTGAGGTACTCTTTCAAATAATAATAATTAAAGAGGTATTTCCGAACCCTATAGCCTCGCCATCGTCTCTGAATCTATTAAAGTAAATAAAGAGATAAAATATGCCAGTAAATACTTTCATTAAAAAATGTAATAACACTTCAAAATTAAGGTAATTATGTCTGATAACTCCTATCAAATAAAGTCTTAGGCTCTTCCATTAATACAACAGTATATTAGCTGTAAATATAGGTTCTCCTAATAAATTTATTGTGAAATATTATTAAAATAAACATAATTATAGGCTATTATAATTTATTTTAAATTACTTATAATTATTTCACAGAATACTAAACTATGGAAAGATTTACAAAAATTTGCTTTATAAATTCCTACCATTTCCACTTCCTGGGCAAATGGATTTTTTTTTCATAACCAACTCACTTTAAGATTGTATTTGGTCTCATTGAAATACATATTTAGTTTTTGTATTTTGTCTCATTAATGGGCTTCTTAAATTCAGTGGTATCAAAATATTTAAACAAATTCTTGTATCTCAATTATGACATTTTAATACTTCCTTAACAATAGCAACAATAACTAACATTTACTGAGTTATTATGTGCCAGGCGTTAATCTAAGGGTTTTTGCTTACACTTATGTATTTAATCTTTAGAATACTACTATGACATAAATACTCATTACCTCATTTACAGATGTGGAAACAGTTAAAAAGAGAGGTTACACAATTTTCCTATAATTATATAGCTATTGGGATGAATCTAGGAATCAAATTTCAAGTTAGGGCTTCAGAGAGCCCACTCTCATAACCATTGCAATGTAGAACTGGGAACAAAGAGAACTGTGATTTTCAACAAAAGAACATTTTTATTGAAATTATCTGCTTCTTCCATCTTTTACTTCAATGCTGACATTCAAATAGTTTTATTTTTACTAGAACATATCATCAAAGTAGGGTGTGGTTTTTTTTTTTTTTTTTTTTTTTTTTTGGATGAGAGGAATGTTAGGGGTCTGAGAGATCATACCTAATTCAGCTTCTAGATATCTTATACAACCCCAGGAACCATGAGAATCAGTCACTGTCCTTAAGTTCTATCTTTGTTAATATAAATATTTTTGCTATATTTTCTAATACCCCCATTTGAAAAACTCAAATAAAGTAATATACGATATTAATTAGGAAAAAACAGCTAAATTATTTAAAGGATTAGAGGAAAAAGAAATAGCACATATTGAAAACTATTAACTTAGTCTTGCATAAAGATTTAGCATCATTCCCCCTAAAATTTTCCAACAGTTTAAATATCTATATGAACAACTCACATATCATAAACGATTCTCTTTTTGGATTAAAGTCTTACCAACTTTAGCACAGTTTGCTAGGCTAAGAGAACACACATCTTCCCTAAACTTTTTTTTTTTTTAAATAGAAAAGGGAAATATGGAGACTAAGCACCAGTCCATTGGGTTTTATCCCCAAAGTCTACTTTCTTTTAGCTAAAAAATATTTAGTATAAAATTTGTATAAGTTGAATATTGGATCAATAAAAAGTAAACCGAAAAAATTGTTTATTTAAATTCTGATTCTTTATTTTTCTCTCTTTTAAAACACAGCCATTTAAAAGGTTATTTATAACCATTTTGCAATTTAAGATATTAAACATGGCTGGGCATGGTGACTCATGCCTGTAATCCCAGCACTTTGGGAGGCCAAGGTGGGCAGATCACAAGGTCAGGAGTTCAAGACCAGCCTGGCCAATATGGTGAAACCCCATCTCTACTAAAAATGCAAAACTTAGCTGGGCATGGTGGCATGCGCCTGTAGTCCCAGCTACTCGGGAGGCTGAGGCAGAAGAATCGCTTGAACCGGGGAGGCGCAGGTTGCAGTGAGCCGAGATTGTGCCACTGAACTCCAGCGTGGGTGACAAAGTGAGATCCCCGTCTCAAAAGAGAAAAAAAAGATATTAAACATGACGATTATAAGATAGTGTTTTTGTCAGACTCCCAGTATGAGAATTACTAAAGTAACTGAAAATATGCAAAACAGCTTGTAAGAACAAGTAAATCAGAGACAATAACTTTATTTTAATTAATTATTTTATTTATTTTTTTGAGATGGAGGCTTGCTCTATCACCAGGCTGGAGTGCAGTGGCATGATCTTGGCTCACTGTAACCTTCAACTCCCTGGTTCAAGTGATTCTCTTGCCTTAGCCTCACGAGTAGCTGGGATTACAGGCACGTACCACCATGCCCAGTTAATTTTTGTATTTTTAGTAGAAACGGGGTTTCACCACGTTGGCCAGGATGGTCTCGATCTCCTGACCTCATGATCCGCCCAAGGTGCTGGGATTACAGGCATGAGCCACCGCGCCCGGCCTTTTTCTTTTTTCAATGGAGTCTTGCTCTGTCACCAAGTCTGGAGTGCAGTGGCAAGACCTCGGCTCACTGCAACCTCTGTCTCCTGGGTTCAAATGATTATTCTGCCCTAGCCTCCTGAGTAGCTTGGACTACAGGCATGTGCCACCATGCCCAGCTAATTTTTGTAATTTTAGTAGAGGCAGGCTTTCACCATGTTGGCCAGGCTGGTCTTGAACTCCTGACCTTAAGCAATCCTCCCACCTCGGCCTCCCAAAGTGCTGGGATTACAGGTATGAGCCACCACACCCAGCCAACAATAACTTTAGAAAGTGAAACTAGTAGTATAGCAAACTAATGTAACAAAAGTATTCAAAGTGTCTTTTGAAATACTTCTCAAATGTTCTTATTTGCAAGATTAATTCTTTAAATTAAAAAAAATTCTAAAATTATATACTCAATTTAGAAACTCTTCCTAATTTTACCAATATTATATTATGACTGAGAAGGAAAAACAAGGAATTGACAGAACCACTTTCCTAATGAAAAAGAAGAATCAATTGGAATATGTATACATATATAAATCATACATGCAAATAAGTGCATATTTTCCTAGCTTATCTAATTTGATCATTATAGCATCATTCTGAGGTGGAGATTATTATTAGCCTCATTTGAGAGAAGAGGGAATTGATGTTTAGAGAGGTTAACTAATTGCCTAAGGTCTTATAGCTGGTTGGATGGCTTCAAATGTTTCAGCATACTTTTACTGCATATACAGTAACAATTTTATTAATGAAGGGAACACTTGTAAATATGTGTACTGACAGGAAATCCATCATCAGTAATAGAAGTTATTCAAGTTGCATAGGAAAATATTAAGATACCAAATAGTATTAAGGGAGGGGCTACCTATCACATTAAAATATCACTAAATTACAAATAAAATAAGATTAAATGTGCCAGAAAACACAAAAGATGCATGTTGGCATACTGTGAGGAAGGAAGAATGATGAGGGTTTATGATTTGGTAATATCAGAGAAGTGGATATTCCCATTTCTAAGAAAGAGATGTTAAAGGAAAAAAACCTGAAATTGGCTGAAAGATTTGTGTTCAAATAAGAAGAGTTTCTTGTAATTAAAACAGAAAAAATGCAACAACATGGGCTCTTTCCTTCTCCAAACCCAGCAACTATTGGAAACAGCACCAACCATGTCTAGAGAGACTACAACTGGTATGCTTTCAGAAAACATTCTAATGTCCTGACACCCTACGCATCTCTCCAAAGGCTGGCTAAAATTCCTCTCCAAGATAATTCCTTTTATTCAAAATTGGATATTAAAGAATGTAATAAGTAAGTGATGGTTAAGGTAACAAATTAAAACTCATCCACACTAAAGTATAATCAATCAGTCTTTAAGTGGCTTTCTTAGAGATGAGTGGATAAAAAGATCTGGAGGAAACAGCATTTGAGTGGGTGAAGAAGCTGCCATCAGTGAAATGAAGGATCTAAAATTTATTGAGCTCCATGAATGTGCCAGGTATTATGCTAACTGCTTTTATTCTCACAATATCCTTGTGAACAGGGCATGATCTCCATGTTAAAAATGAAGAAACTGAGGTTAAGTAATTTGCTCAGGGTCACATAACCAGTAAAACAGTAAATGGAAAGTCAGAATACAAACCCAGGTTTGTCTTACTTCAAAGCCCACTCTTTCCACTAAAACACCTTACATATATATTGTATAAAGAGAGAGAGTATATGCGTGTTCTTTAGTTTAAAATATGGTATTTTCTTATATTATAGGGAGACTAGTTTAACTAATAGCTAACTGATATTGTAAAATACAATATAGATGAGAGTGTACTATATTTCCTATTATAGAAACAAATGACATCTTAAATTTTGCCTAAATATTCTGTTAATATTCCAGTACTAGTAAATACACTTTTAATTTTTTTAAATGTACTTTCAAGCAGCAAGATGATTTTTTATAACATTTCTTCTTAATTTCAAGGTGAATGGGTTATGACTTCAAAAAAAAAAAGAAAAATGACTTGTATTCATGTCCTTCAAAGTAATTAGCAACTTTCAAAAGTGATTGGTATAAAACAATTATTGTCATTGATCAGCTCTGAATAGATAATTTTCAACAATGTCATTGTGTGCTCAGCAGATTACAGCTTGTTAACGGGCAAGTTCTAAATGACCTCTTGAGAAGCTAGTCAAATCAATGATGCATATTCCTCATTAAGTAACATCAAAATGTAAGTGGTCTTATAAATAATGTTTATTTTAAGCACTAAAACAAATGGCAAAACCTTGATATATTAAAAACCATCTGCCATAGAAAAGATTTTCCCTCCATTGGGTTTACTTTTATTCCTGAAAATCTATAGTAACCTTAACGACACTAAAAGAAAAAATATCTTCTCTCTTAACATGAAAAATGAAGACACGGGGCTGGGAGCGGTGGCTCATGCCTGTAATCCCAGCGCTTTGGGAGGCTGAGGTGGGCGGATCATGAGTTCAGAAGTTCGAGACCAGCCTGGCCAACATGGTGAAACCCCATCTCAACTAAAAATACAAAATATTAGCTGGGTGTGGTGGCAGGAACCTGTAATCCCAGCTACTCTGGAGGCTGAGGCAGGAGAGTAGCTTGAACCTGGGAGGCAGAGGTTGCAGTGAGCCGTGAGCTGAGATCGCACCACTGCAC